CGGACCTCGTGTCTCAGACTTTTGGCTACTTGTTCTTCTTCTCCAATGCATCCCTTCTCAACTCGCTGATGGAACGAGGTGAGGGCTGGGCTGAGAGAGGGTAAGAAGGCAGAGACAGGAGCCACCAAGACCCATGTCAAGTCAGACACACCACAGGCTCAGGCCTCACCTTCTGGGACTCAGGAGAGCAGACTCAGGTTCCCAAACCAATGGACAAGAAGGGCCTGGATGGCAGGAGTGCAGAGTCCGTGTACCCATTGCCCCTCATACCCTTCCCCCCACAGGTCAAGGCCGACCTTTTTATCAGTGGTCCCGAGCTGTCCAGATCCGAACCAACCTGGACCTTGTCCTGGACTGGCTGCAGGGGGCCGGGCTGGGTGACATTGCCACTGAGTTCTTCCGGAAACTCTCCATGGCTGTGAACTTGCTCTGCGTGCCCCGCACCTCCCTGCTCAAGGTGACTCCCAGTCAACTCTACTTGACCCCTGACTTCTGATACCCCAGCCCCACCCAACCACCCTTTGTATTCAGCTTGCCGTTGGACCTCCCCTTGGACCCCACATTGTCCCTGGCTCCAGCTCAGACACTAGACTTGGTAGCTAGAAGGAAGCCAGCACCAACAATGTCCAAACTTGGCTGCATCTGAATCCCAGTGGGACTTACTAAACATAGTTTCCAGAGCCCCTCCCTCACACATGCGGATTCAAGGAGTCTGGCATGAGACCAAGAAATGTGGTGGTTCAAACATTCATTGAACATAAACTACATGTCAGGCACTGTGTTTAGCACTTTTTGTTGAATGCTGATAAAGTCCTGTAACGTATGTTGTTGATAAACAATTTTTCAGATGAGGAAAAAAAAAATCAAGTAGGTCTCTTGATTTTATTTACTTATTCTTATTTATCCGACTTGTACAGAGTATTGAATAAGCTCCAGGCAGTATTCTAAGTCCTTTATAATCTTGCCCTACTGAATCCTTCATAATAACCCTATTAGGTAGTTCCTCTTATTCTCCCCCAATTTACAGGTGAGGAAACTGAGGAGAGTGACTTGCCAGAAGATAGTAAGTAGCCAGGCTGGGATTTTTTAACCTAGGCAGTCCAGAGTCTCTTCTTTTAACTATACTGATGATTCTGATTCCAGCTAGGTTTGATATGGAAATGTTCAAATAGATTCAAAAAGCAGCTACATAGAATAAAGAATCCCCACGTACACATCATTCAGTAATATAAACCAACAGCCAATCTTGTTTCTTCTATGCCCCCATCCACTCCGTGTCGTCTTTTATTCTGAAACATATCACTTTTTTTTTTCCTTTTTAATTGCTTAGAGTACCTCTTCACCATCACTTCAGTGACAACCAGGCCTCACAGTACCCAGAAGACACTGCACAGACTGTACTATCTACCCCCACATCCACCCCCTTTATGGAGGGCCTTCCATTTAGGATTTCCCAGCCATCCCATAATGACCTTAGACTTTTCACCTGGTCTTCCCACCAGGCTTCATGGAGCAGCCTACGAACCGACCATCCCACCCTGACCCCTGCTCAGCTCCATCACCTGCTCAGCCACTACCAGCTGGGTCCTGGCCGTGGGCCACCACCCGCCTGGGACCCTCCCACTGCAGAGCGAGACGCTGTGGACACAGGTGAGGAGAAATGGGGATACAAGCATTGGGGCTATCAGCTTCCTTCCTCAGGCCCCAGGAGTCCATATCCCCAGTTCCCTTCTGATGCACGATTCTGGACTCCTAGTGTCTTCCTCCCCCAGGACCTAAGTGTGTGAACCCCAACTCCTTTTTTCCCCAGGATCCAGGTGGTCCAGTCTCCAGCTCCCTCTTTTTTTTTTTAATTGTACTTTAGGTGAAGGTTTACAGAACAAATAGTTTCTTATTAAACAGTCAGTACACATATTGTTTTATGACATTGGTTAACAACCCCATGACATGTCAACCCTCTCCCTTCTCGAGCTTTTTTTTTTTTTTTGGTGAAAATATACATAGCCAAAGATAAATCATTTCAAAAATTTCTACATGCACAATTCAGTGACATTGATTATGTTCTTCCAGTTGTGCTGCTATTCTCACTTTAGATGAAGGTTTACAGAACAAAACAGTTTCTCATTAAACAGTACACGTTGCCCTATGACAATGGTTTACAACCCCACTACATGTCAACACTGTCCTTACTCAAACTTGAGTTCCCTATCACCAGCTTTCCTGTCTCCTTCTGCCCTCCAGTCCTTGTCCCTGGACTGCTCTGCCTCATTAGTCCCATTTTGTTTTATGGGGCTGTCCAATCCCCGGCTGAACAGCGAACCTCAGAAGTGACTTCACCACTGTCCAGCTCCCTCTTTTTGTCCTAAAGATTCAGGCCCATAACCTCTTCCTCCCACACACACATCCTCCCTCCCCACGTAGGAGTCCAGACCCAGACCCACCATTCTCAGAAATCCCTAAGTTCCCAGTCGTTCCTTCCTCACAGACTTAGGAACCCAAACACAACGCCCATTTGTTTCCCAGGTAACGGTGGCCTTCCGTTGTCTCTACTACAACTCCCATCATGCTCGGGGGCTCTGAGAGTCGCGTTTGAGTAGACTCTGCTCCAGGATCTGGGGGGTTGAAGTTTTCTCTTCGTTGGGGCTTGAGGCAGCCTGGCTCAAGCCTGACACAGCCGCCTCACGCCCATTTTCAGAATTTAACCCCGTCCTCTTCGGTCTCACAGGAGACATCTTCGAAAGCTTCTCCTCCCACCCACCCCTAATCCTGCCCCTGGGCAGTTCGCGCCTGCGTCTCACGGGCCCCGTGACGGACGACGCCCTGCACCGTGAACTGCGCAGGCTCCGCCGCCTCCTCTGGGACCTTGAGCAGCAGGAGCTGCCGGCCAATCACCGCCACGGACCTCCCGTAGCCACGCCTCCATGAAGACCAGTAGCAAACGAGCGCGGGAATCTTGAAAATTCATCGGCTCCTACTTAGCGGAGCCCTCTGAGCGCAGAGCTTTCTGGGAGTTGTAGTTCTTTCTCCCGCTTGGAATGCTGGGAGTTTGAGTTGTCGGGTAGCCGAGGATGGGACGGTGGGAATATGGTTTTGGGATGTGAGTGCAAAAGAGCAATAAAGGTATCTGTGGCATTGGCAACACCTAGCTTGTTAAGACTCAGGGGCGCTGGTGATGATTTTCTGCAGAATAGCTTATCAGGGTCCTTGCCTGGAACGCTGGACCCCTGCCAGGTCTAAGGAGATATTTATAGTCATGGCCTCGGCTTGCCCTCCTGCTTGTAATCCGACTCAGGGGCATTGGAGCCTCCCACACACCTCAGAACGGAGCCCTAAGCTTGCTCTGCCAAATATCAGTCCCTCAGTCCTGCCGTTGGGAACTAGCCCTATCTCCCTTCAACCTCCAAAATCCATTCTCCAGCCTCCTCCTCCCTCAGATCCAAGAGTCCAGGCCCCCAGTCCCCTCCTGAACCTTTCTGTCCTGTATCCAGCCCTCTCCCTGGTGATATCATTTATGCCATCTTCTGCCTGTCGGGCACACGGCGGATCTCAACAACTCTTGTCCCTGTTACAAGCACCCTTCTATCAAACCCAGGAGTCTACGCCCCCGGCCCCTTCCTTCCTCGTACTCAGGAATAGTCCCCCAGCCCCTCCTCCCTCAGACCCAGGAGTCCAGCCCCCAGACCCTTCCTCCTTCAGGTCCAGGAGTCCGGGTTTCCAGTTTGAACTTTTCACTCCCCTAAACCCGATTCTGGCTGCTGCGTCAGGGAAAAAGCAGGCGACAGGTGGCACCTGCCGGCCGGGCCGGGACGCGACCACCTGCCGCTGCTGCTCACCCCGCGCCCCTCTGCAGGCACCTGCTTCTGTCAGTCCGCACGCTGCTGGGCCCGACCCCGCAGCCTCGGGTCGCACAGGAGGAGCGAGAAGGGGAACCCCGGCGTCCGCCCCGCCCCAGGCCCGCCCCGCCCCGCGCTGCCCCCGCCCCTCCTCGGGTTCCCAGGCGGGGCTCCGGGGCGCCCGAACCGCCCCTGAAAGGGGGGTGGTCCCAGGCTAGGGGGACGGAGCCTGCGGCCTTCAGCCCCAGACCGAGGGACCCAACCCGCCCCACAGCACAGCTGCGCCGAACCTACCTGGTGAGAAGCCCCGGGGGTGCAGAGGGGAGACACTCTTTTGTCACCTCCCTGGTCTCATTCCCTTGCCCAGAGACCCTGATGGCTGAGACCCCACCCACTCCCTTCTGAGACGCAGGTGCCAAAGACCCTTCAACTACCCTCGGACCTGTCGGGACCCCTTCCCCCTCTAGACCAAGGATCTTAAATTCTAGTCCCTCAGGGAATCAACAGTTCCGGCCCTTAGCCCCTTCTTCACAATTCAGGAGTCCAGGCTCCGGCCCCCTCCTCCCCTTTCATAGACCCAGGAGTCCTGGGCCCCAGCCCCCTCCTCCCTCAGACCCAGGAGACCTGGCCCCCAGTTCCCTCTCCCTTCAGACCTAGGAGTCCAGGTTCCAGTCCCCTCCTGTTCCCCCAAACCCAAGAGTCGTGACCCCCAGCCCCCTCCTCCCTCAGACCCAGGAATCCTGTCTCCCAGCCCCCTCCTCCTTCAGACCCAGGAGTCCAGGTTCCAGTCCCCTCCTGCTCCCCCAAACCCAAGAGTCGTGGCCCGCAGCCCCCTCTTCCCTCAGACCCAGGAATCCTGTCTCCCAGCCCCCTCCTCCTTTAGACCCAAGATCCTGTCCCCCTAGCCTCCCCCTCCCTCAGACCCAGGAGTCCTGACCCCCCCAGCGTCCTCCCTCAGACCCAGAAGTCCAGGCCCTCCGACCTCGGCACCTCCTCTCCCGGGATCCAGCTGTTATAGCCTGAAGGAAGCCTCTGCCATTCTGACCTCCCTCGGTTCCTCTCCCTGTAAGTTGACACACAAGGACAGCCTCTGACCTCCACTCTGGCCCTGCACCCCGTGGGGGCTCTGACTTCCCTCCAGTCCAGGTCCCCATCTCGGCCTTGGCAATGACCCTGGCAGCTTCCTCCCAGCGCTCCCAAATCATTCGCTCCAAGTTCCGTTCTGGTGAGAGGCTTCTCCGAGCACGTGGGGAGTGGGTCCTGGGAGTGTGCACGGTGAGGGGAGGAGGGGGGAGAGTAGGCCACGAGGGAGACTGTGTGTTTTCTGTGCAAAAGGTCACTTGTGTATTAAGCAGCGAGGGGGCAAGTTGAGGTGGGTGAATGGCTGGAATAATGCTTATATGAGCGGTGGGGAGTGGGCTGCTGGGGGTGGGTGTGCAGAAGGGCTTACACTAACATGTGTGCAAAGCAGTGGAGTGTGCAGATTGAGGACTTCCTTCTGAGTGAGGGGGACAATGAGCTACCAAAACTTGCCACGTGCCAAAGGCCAAGGACGGGCAGAAAGCGTGCAAGTGGGTTCCTAGAAGTAGCACCAGGAGCCAGTTCCTGAGTGTGCTTCTGTGGTTGGGTGGGTGCAAAGACTCCAGTAAGCAGAGAGCAAGGAATGTGCCAGAGGGTGCATGTGTACAGAGAAGAGCAGAAATGTGAAAAGGGAGATCCTTGGTCCAAAATGGGGGCGAATCCTGAGTATGCAAATAGTGCATGAAGGTGGCAGGACGGGTGCTGAGACGAGTGAGCCAAGGATGAAGACTGTGCAAAAGGGTCCAAGTGCACAAAAGCAGCGTGTGTGCAAACCTTGAGCTCAGGGAGATGTGTGTTTATAGGGTGGGTGTGCAAAGGGGCTGAGTTTGGCAAGGGCCAGAGGTAGTGCAGATGGGAGCAGGCATGTGCAAAGCAGGGTGCACACATGAAAGGAGGCAGGGTGCAAATGGGCCAGGCTGCCAAGATGGCGGTTGTGCCGGGGGTGGGGTGGGCACAGGCTCTCGAAGCGGGCAGGTGGAGCTGGGGGCAGGGCAGACTCCTCCTGGAACACTGGCTGGCTCCTAGCCCCAGAACGGCTCTGGGCTCTGGCCCTCGGCGCTTTGCTGGCAGGAGCAGGCGGGAGGCCCGGGAAAGGGAGCAGGCTGCCCGCCCACCCGCCTGCACCGGGTGTGTAAGGGGGCTGGGCACGCGTGGGCCGCCAACAACTGCAGCTCCAGCCCGCCTGCTAGGCCAGGCTCCTGGACACTCCCTTCCCGCCTTCCCCCTCCCACTTCCCTCTTCCCTCCACAGTCCTCCAGCTGCGGATCCACAGACGCTATCAGGACCCGAGTAAGTGTGGGCCCCCAAAGGGAGGGCATGGTGACCCCACTCCCCCAGGGGTCCCTGGAGTGCGGCCGCCAGATACCTTGAGCTGGTTCCTGTGCCTCCATCCCCCACTGCCCTGGATACACAGAAATCCAATCCTGTCCTTTGCCAAGGACCCAGGAGTCCAGGTCCCCGCTATCCCATCCCATAGAAGCCCTGCTTCCTGCTCTTCAGCTTCCCCACCCCAAGGGGATGCATGAATCCAGATCCTGTTTCTTGGAACTCCACACTTGGCACATATAAGCAGCTCAGTTTCTACCTCTCCTAAGAACCAGGACTCCAGGCCCCACCCCCGGCCCTGCAAAAATCCCAGAAATCTGTGATCCTCGGCTCCCACACCCCTTGGTAACCAAAGACATGATTTCAGCCTTTCTTGAGAATGTAGAAGTCTGGGTCCCGGCCCCTCCGCCCTCTGATCCAGAAGTGCCGGCACCCAGCTCCTCACTTGTTGGAGACTCTGGGTTTTGCATTCTGGGCCTGCCTTCCTGCACCGGGGGTCCCGGGGCCTCCAGAGCCAGCCTTTCTGCAGAGCCCTGCTCCTCCCTGCCTGGCTCTCCGCCTGCAGGCCTCTCAGGATCCTTCACCTTCTCTCCAGTCTCGGATCCAGATCCGTGGATCTCAGCCTCAGGCCCAGCGGCTCTGGCCCCAGCCGCAGTCTCTACCTCGGGCCCCACCCCTTTCCTCTTCAGTCCTGGGGTCCTGCTCCCTGAGCCAGAATACGGCCTGTGGAGGTCTCCGAAGAAGGTGAGTCTCAAGATCGGAGTAAGGGTAAGTCCCCCTGAGGGTCTAGCCTTGCTCTTCCTTGCTGCTAATGATACTCTTTTTGCCCCTCTCTGATCTTCCCAAATGGACCCCATACTTTGCATGAGGCTCTGGGGCAGGAAGGTGGGAGCAGAGCTGAAGGAAATAACATCAACATCTTACCTGCTTTTACAGGAGTCTCCTAAGATCGCCCAACGTTGGAGTCACCCCAAGCCCAAAGGGAACTTGACCTACCACCAATACATGCCCCCAGAACCAAGACAGGGGTCCAGGGGAGACCCCCAGGCCGAGGGGACAGCTCTGGGACCCCCTGGGCCACCTCTGTGGGAAGGGACAAACTCACAGCAACCACATCCTAGGTATGGTCCCCTCTTTCTGTTCCCCCAAGACCCAGAAGTTCAAGCCTCCACCATCCTCCTCCCTCAAACCTAGAGTCCCAGACCAGGGCCTGGAGTCCCAGCCCCCATCTCCTTCATCAGGACTCAAGAGTCTGGGACCACAGCCCCATCCTTCCCCAGGATCCCAAAGTCCAGGCCCCCAGCTCCAGGAACCCAAGAGTCAAGGCCCCCAGCCTCCCTCTCCAGGTCCCAAGAGTCTGAGCTCCCAGTTCCTCCTCTCCCAGGCACTGGAATGTCCCGTGTTTGCTCCTTGAATCTTTGCTTTCCTGAATCTTGAGCCTCTGTTCTTAAGGACCCCAGACAACCTTTGCTCCCTCTGTCCCTTCTAAACTTTGTTCCCCCTCAGGACTACTGCCAGGATGAAGTCCACTCCCTCCCCATCAGGAGCCCCCAGCCCATCGCCCCCACCCCACAAGTTGGAACTTCAGACCCTTAAACTGGAGGAGCTGACGGTGAGTTTGGGGACTCCCAGGCGGTCCTCTCCCTCGGCGGAGCCCAGAAGTCTAGCCCTGCAGATTTTGCCCTATCGGAAACCCGAGAGTCCAAGTCCCCCAGTTCCATCCCTTTCAGGGTCCCAGGAGTGGGCTTCCAAATGTCAGGGCCCCGCTGCCCACTGCACCCGGGAGCCCGCCCTGCACGGCCTCTCCCCGCTCCCCACTCCAGGTCTCAGAGCTTCGACAGCAGCTGCGCCTACGGGGCCTCCCGGTGTCGGGGACCAAGTCGATGCTCCTGGAGCGCATGCGCGGCGGCGCTCCGCCCCGCGAGCGGCCGAAGCCGCGGCGCGAGGATAGTCCCGCCGGGGCTCCCTGGCCGCGTCTCAGGCCCAAGGCCTTAGGAGCCGCCCGGCGACAGGGCTCGGTGAGGGCGGGACCTGGGGGCGGGGCTATGCGCGTGTAGACCAATGAGGAGAATACATCGTAGGATGGGGCGGATAGTCGGAAAATGAGTACCAATGAAGTGTCGGGAGTGCAGCCTAGAGGCGGGAAGCCGTGGACGCAAGGGGCGTGGTTTAGAGCGAAGGGGGCGGATACTAAGGAAAGCTAAGCCAATGAAAGGATAGGGGGCGAGGCCAAAGGCGGGTCAATGAAAGACGGACTGGATATAGGGCGGAGCCACAGATCTCAGTGGGTGGGGTTGTGCGCAGTGGGCGTGGCTTATAAGAACTAACTCTTCGCGGATCTAGCTCAAGTCCGGTGCAGCCTCTGATGATCGGCCGCCTCTTCCGCGAGCCTCTGACACCCTCGTGGCGGCTTCGGCTCCCGCTCCAGCGCTGACCCCTTCGTCAGCACCGACGCCCGCGGCCCTAACTCTGGAGGAGGAGCTGCAGGAAGCGATCCGGAGGGCGCAGGTGAGAGGAAGTGGACCGAGGCGGGGCTCGGGGTCTCTGGTCGGGCTCGGGGCCGCGGTCTCGGGTTCACGCCTCTTCCCCCCTTCCGCAGCTGCTTCCGAACCGGGGCATCGATGACATCCTGGAGGATCCAGTGGAGCCTGAGGGTAAGACCAGACTCCTAGATATGGGGGAGAATAGGGCTGGGGTCCCGGACTACTGGGTCCTCGCGGAGAAGGGGGCTGAGGTTCTGGACTCCAGGTCCAAGGGAGGAGAGGACTGAGGGCTGGACTCCCGGGTCCGAGGGAGGAGGGGCCCGGACTCCAGGGTCTGAGGGAGGAGGGGGCTGAGATTCTGGACTCCAGGTCCAAGGGAGAAGTAGGCTGGGGGCCTAATCCCTGCTCTCCTCAGCTCACCCTCCGTTCCTTCCCCCTAGACCCGCTGCCCCCCATCCCCCTGGACTTCCCCGGCTCCTTCGACGTGCTGTCCCCCTCCCCGGACTCTGAAGGTCTCTCATCTGTCTTCTCTTCCTCACTACCCTCCCCCACGAACTCCCCTTCCCCTGCTCCCAGGGGCCCCATGGACTCCTTGGACTGGCTGGAGGCTCTGAGTGGGGGTCCCCCGCTCGGCTGTGGGCCCCCAGCCCCCAGCATCTTCTCTGCCGACTTCTCTGACTCCAGCGGCACCCGGCTGTGGGACCTACTGGAGGATCCATGGTGATGGAATCCGGGTTTCTAGAGACCCAGAGCTGGTGGGGGTAGGGAGGTCATGAAGGAGAGGCTCCTTGAGGGAGGGTTATGGAGCAACCAGCACAGCCCCTCCCACCACAAACACAGGATCAGAGACAATCCCCCTTCACCACCTGACCCCCTAAAGGATGCTGATTTACCAGCTGACTGACCTTTGCCTGCCTGACCTCCATATGATCCCTCTCATAGATGTGTGGTTGGGGGTTCATTGGCTGCTGACCAGAGCAAACAAGCTGCTTGCTGCTTCCTTCAGAAACCTCATGGATGTTTTCATTACCATCTTCCTTCCCCTACTCTCTGACTACATGGCTGCCTGTTATTTGGGGATCTGAAAGGGGGGTCTCTGCTTTTTGGATGCAGGAGAGGGGCAGGGAAGAGTGGGGAGGGAGAATAAGTGAGCCAGACCCCTGGGTTTTCACTATTGTCATTGTTAGGTGCAGTAGAGTCCATTCTGACTCATGGCGACCCCATGTGTGCAGAGTAGACCTGTGCTCCATAGGGCTTTCAAAGCTGTAACCTTTCGGAAGCAGATCGCCAGGCCTGTCTTTCAAGGCACCTCTGTTGTTTTTTGTTGTCAAGTAGATAACTCATAGCGACCCTGTAGGACAGAGTAAAACTGCCCCATAGGGTTTCCAAGTCTGTAAATCTTATGGAAGCAGACTGCCACATCTTTCTCCTATGGAGCAGCTGGTGGATTCAAACTGCCAACCTTTTGGTTAGCAGCCAAGCGCTTAACCACTGTGCCACCAGGGCTCCTTGAGGCATCTGTTAAAACTGACAACTTTTGGGTTAGTAGTGGAGCGCTTAACTGTTTGTACCACCGAGGGACTCCAGGTTTTCATTAGAGATGAAAAAATCAGAAGCCTCGTGTCTGGGGTCAGAGTCTCTTGGAAGCAGACCCTGAGACAAGATTTATGTGCCAGTGATTTATTAATGTTCCCAGTGTGGTGCAAATGGTTTGCACTTGACTAGTAACCTAATTGTTGGAGGATTGTACCCACTCAGTGGCACTGCAGAAGGAAGGCCTGGTGTTCCGCTTCCATAAAAATTACAGCCAAGGAACTCCTATGGAGCATGGGGTCACCGTGAGTTGGAATCAACTCAACAGCAATGGGTTTGGGTTTTTTTAATTTTCTTCCTTCTGGAGAAAACAGTCAAGGAGTTGGGCAAACAGGACAGTGAAGGGGAAAAAGACAAGCAAGAGTGCAACTTTATGCGAAGTTCCAGCCTCAGCCTGATCCTGCAGGGAGCTCAGGAGCTTGAATTACAGGGAGCTGGGTCTTTGAATCTCCCCATTTTGGTTTATTATTGCCGAATAACAAACCATCTCTAAACTTTAGAGCCTTAAAGCAATATCTGTGGTCTCTCACAAGTCCATGGGTGGACTGGGCTCAGCTGGGCAGTTCTTCAGCTCCAGATGATGTTAGCTAGGGCTGTAATCATCTGGATGCCTGTAAAAATGGCATGGCGGCAGCATCTGACCTCTTCTGATTTCACAAGGGGGAAGGAGAATCCAGATCAATAGCCCAAGGCCGATTCCTATGAGATGGAGGTCAGACATACCTCCTCTCCGGTCTTTATCAATTCCGACACCATCTCTCCCTCCCATGACACTCTATACTTCTCTGCTGGATTTGATAATTCATTGCAGTGGCCTCACAGAACTCATAGACGAGACTCAACGATTATGAGGTTTATTAGGAAAGTAAATGGTTATAGTTCAGGTTCAGGAATGCTCAGGATACAGTTCTTCGATCAGGACAGACTCTTCACAGCTATGCCCACAGGCAGGTCTCTCTCTGGCGCTTGGCCCCTTGGCCCCTTGGCCCCTTGGCCTGGCCTCTGCCCTGCTCGGGCAAGTGTTACAAAGCTCTTTTAGCTCTGCTAATAAGTGCCCAGAAGCACCCCACCCAGGCAGTAAGCCTTGGCCCAAAGGCACTCATCTCTAGCTCTGTGGGTCAGCAAACCTAGCTCCATCAAGTGCCAAATGCACCCTACTCTGCCAGCAAACCTCCTGCCCAAAGGTACTCAGCTTTCTCACTCCATGAGCTGGGATGCCCACTGCACCATCTCCTGCCTCTGCTGTTGCCGTTTTCTGCCACCACTTCTCAATGCCTTCATTATTGCAGCTCTTTCAGTCTCCTGGTTCCAGGAGCTTCTCAGCACAGGGATCTCGGGTTCAAAGGACGAGCTCCACTCCTGGCATTTCCTTTTTGGTGGTGGTGAGATCCTCTCCTCCCGCCTCTGGGATGGCTTATTTTAAGCCTAGCGGGATGGCAAAACTTATCAATCCCTTCATTAGGGTTCCATATATCTTATTTGCATAGTCCCATTCAGTCATTGTATATGAGTCACAAAGACTATGGCTAGAAGGGCCATATTAAATAATTCATTGCACCGAAATGCCCAACTGCACACTGCCAAGATGGCGCAATCAGACATGTCTGGCACCTTGATGGGGATGGCTAGAAGACTGGGCTCAGCTGGGTTGCTGGGACATCTGGACCTATCGTGGTCTCAGCGTTGTCCTGCTACAGGTGGTCTCTCCAACAGGGTAGCTGGACTTCTTACATCGCGGATCAGGGCTCCCAGCAGTGAGCATTTCAGTGGAAGGAGGCAGAAGCTGCCAGTCTCTTAAAGACTAGGTCTGGAACTACCCTAATGTCACTTTCACCATATTCCATTGGTTAATGCGAGTCAGACTACCTTAGATTGAATATGGAGGGGGACAACATGAGGGGAGTCCCTGGGTGGCACAAGCAGTTAAGCGCTTGGCTACTAACCAAAGGGTTGGCAATTCGAGTCCACCCAGAGGTGCCTTGGAAGAAAGTCCCAGTGATCTGCTTCCCAAAGGTCACAGCCATTGAAAACCCTATGGAGTGCAATTCTACTCTGCACACATGGGGCCACCATGAGTCAGAGTCAACTCAATGGAGATGTTTTTTTTTTAAATTGTTTCCAACCACTCGAGGGTGGGAATGCTGGGAGCATGGTTATTGGGGGACATACTTGGAGACTTGCCACTATACCATACCCTATATTAGTTTTCTAGAGCTGCCATAACAAAGTACCACCCACAGAGTGGCTTAAAACGACAGTAATTCTTTCATAGTTCTGGAGGCCAGAAGTCCAAGATCAAAGTGTTGATAATTCCATGCTCCTTCTGAAGCCTCTAGGGGAAGACCTGTCCTTCCTCTTCCAGTTGCTGATGGCTTTGGGTGTTCCTTGGAAGCACACTGTCACATCTTTCTCGCATGTAGCCACTGGTGGGTTTGAACTGCCGACCTTTTGGTTGGCAGCCAAGCATGTAACCATTGTGCCACCAGGGCCCCTTACTCTGGAGAAAGTATTGTAAAATCGAGGTCCATAAAATCTTTGCAAACATTGGCTTTTTCACCCAGATGTGTAATAGATTCGATCAACTCCTAAGATGTATTTTGGATTTCAGGAGGTGCCCACATAGAAAACTCTCAGAAAAATCCCGGTCCCCCCGCCCCAAATGTCATGGCTGTGTTCAATAGTAGTTAAATAAATATTATTTTATTGATGCCTGTGAAATGTTTACAAGTGTATCCCCCAAGAGAGAAGGATGTTGTAAGATGTGTTCACTGCCCAACATGTAGCAAATGTGCCACAGATATTTACTGAAAGAATGAATGGAATCTCCTCAAGTTTGTTGAGCCATGCTGGCCACTGAGGTCTCAGTTATAATCATCTCAGGCCTAGGAAGCTAGGGTTGCAGAGGGAGGGCATATGGTCTTGGATGCTCCTAGTCAGTATGTTGCTTCACAAATGGTTTGTGCTCTGCTACTTACTGAAAGGTTGGCGGTTAAAAGCCAACCTTTGGCAACAATGAAGAAAGCCCTGGTGATCTGCTTCCAAAAGTTTACAGCCATTGAAAACTCTATGGAGCCCAGTTCTACTCTGAAACACGTGGGGTTGCCATGAGGCAGAATCGACTTGATGGCAATGGGCTTGGTTTTTCGGTTTCTGGGTAGACTAATTAGCAACATCATGATAAATGGAGAAAAGACTGAAGTTTTCAAGGATTTCATTTTACTTGGATCCACAATCAACACCCATGGAAACAGCAGTCAAGAAATCAAAAGATGCATTGCATTGGACAAATCTGCAAAAGACCTCTTTAAACTGTTGAAAAGCAAAGCTATCACCTTGAAGACTAAGGTACGCCTGATCCAAGCCATGGTGTTTTCGATCGCCTCATATGCGTGTGAAAACTGGACAATGAATAAGGAAGACCGAAGAAGAATGGATGCCTTTGTAACAAAGCTTATTAAGAAAATGTTCTGCATCCTATTTTGGTGAGTGGCGTCTGGGGTCTTAAAAGCTTGCAGTTGGCCATCTAAGATGCATCAATTGGTCCCGACCACCTGGAGTAAAGGAGAATGAAGAACAGCAAAGACACAAGGAAAGTATTAGCCCAAGGGACAAAAAGGGCCACATAAACCAGAGACTTCACCAGCCTGAGACCAGAAGAACAAGATGGTGCCTGGCTACCACCAGTGACTGCCCTGACAGGGAACATAGCAGAGAGTCCTGGATGGAGCAGGAGGAAGGTGGGATGCAGAACTCAAATTCTAGTAAGAAGACCAGACGTAATGGTCTGACTGAGACTGGAGGAACCCCAGAAAGCATGGCCCCTGGATTCTCTATCAGCCCAGAACTAGAAGAATTTCAGAGGCCAACTCTTCAGACGGGAATTGGACTGCACTGTGGGATATACAGTGATACTCGTGAGGAGTGTGCCTCTTGGCTCGAGTAGATACAGGGGACTAAACGGGCAGCTTCTGTCCGGAGGTGAGATGGGAAGGCAGAGAGGGTTAGGAGCTGGTTGAACGGATATAGGGAACCCGTGGTGGAAAGGAGGAGTGTGCTGTCACAGTATGGGGAAAGCAATTAGGGTCACATACAATGTATGTATAAATTTCTGTATGGGAAAAAATAAAAAGA